AAAAAAGAAAAAAAAAAAAAAAAAAAAAGGGAGAAAAAGAGAGGGAGGAAGGGAGGGAGGGAAGGAGGGAAGGTGGGTGGAAGGAGAAGGAATGGGAGCAGAGGGGATATGTGCCTCACTCTGAGAAACTTTTCTGGTTCTAATTTACACATCTATGACCACAGTCCAGAATGAGCTCACTGCGAGAGGAGAATAACAACAACTACGAGAAAGAAACTTAAAAAAAAGAAAAAAAAAACCAATGGAGAAAGTGATAAAAGGCAGCGCAAAGGCAAGAGAACATATGGTTCTTACACAGTGACAGTGCTGAAAGGTCACATGGCAGAACATCTGTTCATCAATACATGTGCTGAAAAACTAGGGTAAAATTGATGGCTGAAGGGCTTCAAAATTGACAAATAGGGGTGAGGAGCAGAAATTCTGGGATGAGAAAAAACTGCAAAGAGGAAGCCAAGAGAGATGCTTCAAGGGTTTTCTACAGAGAACAGCAGACGGAGGCCATTAGTGGTGGTTCTGGAATGTGAGGGTCAGAGATCTGGGCTCTGCTGGGACCCACTCTGTAAACACAACCCTGCCTTAACCAGAAGAACACCCCCAAATGAACATGCAAACTCACATACACATAAAAACCCACAATAAGATGCAAACAAACCAAACCTGTGGCCACAAAGACTAACAGACAACCGAGCAAACCACAAAAAACATTGGCACCCCAGAAAAAAAAAACCACAAAGCTAACAAATAAACCAAATCAGTGCCTAGAAAAACAACACAGTCAAGCCATTCTATTGACATGGTAAAAAGCCATTCGCTATCACAAATCTAAATGAGCTCCCATGGATGCTGCTGCTGTGGGACATGCTGTGCATTCTAATAGATTGGCACAACACACAGCCTAAAGCCAAATCTAATCCATACTAATAGCAACATGCTCCACAGTTGATAATACTGTACTGACTGTCTCTACAAATCTGTCTCTACATTTGCCTTTATTAGAAGTCGAGGTCAGACCATTATTGACCTGTCAGCAGAGATCTATCTGGGCTGCAGCAGCCTACACTGAGGTGAGCTCAGCTGAGGCTGTAGCCCGATTTGGTACAGCACCATTCAGGGGTGGTCCACCCTTACAGGGCCCCTCACATGCGCCAGTGTTTCCCAACAAATCTTAAGCTGCTTGTTTAGTTTCCAAGTCAACGTTGCTTAAAAAATTATAACAAAGCGATTAGACTGAATTGTGAAATGCCTCGATTTGAATCCG